CACGTTTACGTAAAACGGCAAACCAGAATTTGTACCACGTGACCAAGTCTTCCCTTTACTTGAAGTTTACTGTTCATTATTTCTACACATAAAGTAGTAGTTTCACGCAATTTCTTATCCATAAGAATTTTTTGAGCTGTTTTTATCTGCTCATTTTCCATTTTGAGAAATTCTCAACTTGACGTTTGCCGTAAACGTGAAGCTTATACTCTCTTTTATTATACATTGTACTCATTATCTGTCTTCTCATTGGCCAAGAGCCTACAGCTAATTATGGAAATCAACGCAACCTACAGATAAGTTAGTTTTCTGCTAGCAGATAACTGACTAATCTGTAGGTTGTGCGCGCTAATTTTTATTTCCAATAACAATTGTATCAAATCAGCGACGGTGTGTTTGTCGTTATTTTCTTCAAAACAATGTATAATTAAACAATTATTAGATTCGGTTTTTGTGATATCCTAAGTAATCAAGGTCTCGATAAGTGTTATCAGCCTCGGCCTTCGGCTCGGCTGATAACACTTGCCTCGACCTTGATTATTCCGGGTATCACTAAAACCTCATCCAATAATTGTTTAATATCTGGAATGTTATTCCCCGGGGAGCGAAATCCAATAGGGGCCCAGTTGTTCGAAAGCCGGATAACGCGATCTACTGGATGGTTTCTCTATAGTGGTTTATCTGGTGGATGGCGCTATCCAACGTTTGAACAACCGGGGCGAGTGCCATTTAAAAAGAAAATAGCCTGCGTACAGCCGGCCCCACCCCTCTGGAAATTTTTTTATCCCTAAGGGGAGAGGGTGGCTGTACAGAGGCTTTTAAAAAAACGGCAAGCTTTTACGGTAATCAGCTTAGTGTGGCTTGCTGTTTTTCTTACGGTTTGATCTCCCAGCCAAATGGTCACTGCACAATTAGAATGTCAAAGTTTTCGGATTTGCAAATATGCTTCATTAACGTATCATTTCAGCAGACAATAGAAGTAGCTACTTTGAGGAAGTACATTGCGTGAAATGCAGGGTATCAACTCCTGAAACTGTCGTTTCGACTTTTGTTTTGAAAAATATAACAAAACCGTGCAGAGTTTGTGATTAATTGAGTGATTTTAGTCTGATTTACCCCATGGTTCAGGGTACATTTCTAAAGGACTGCCCGCAAGATAGGTATCATTATCCTGCTTATCGCCTTTTATATGGAGAAAGGTTTCTCGGCTGGGAGGGTGACCCTACCACCGCAAAAGGGTGACCCGGCGTAGAGGGTTACCCTTCTAGCCTAGTCAGCTTTTTGTTTTTCATTTTAAAAGTTTGCCACGTTTTGCAAAGAAATTATGAAAGGTTTGCTCGCCTGGAGTAGCTCTTCTACCCATCCATGACAACTTTTGTCCATGTAGGTTGGGCCTAACTGCAATCGAACTTCCCGTTAGCTGGAGCGGGGGGTTACAAAAACACGCGGATTTCTTAGATGTGATAAACTCCTATCGTAGAGAGCTAAGCCTCCTCGGATGCCATGATGTCTAATTTAACCTTGGTTGTATCTTTACGTGGAAAAGCGGAAGTGGGTGGTGGAGAGTTCTTGGAACCGCCAAAGTTACTCAGTCCTCGATGAGAGTGACAAATCGTGAAAAGAAGTTTCGCTCACATGATTGTCGTTCAAAATGGCTTGCGAAAACACAACTGATTATGATTACAGGTTCGTCGATAGTGACACTGGTCTACAGGATGCTATCTCTGAGATCAAACAGAAAATAGCGGAACGGATCGCTCTTTTAGCCGTTGATTGTGAAGGAAATTCTTTGAGCAGAGAGGGAGCCCTTACCATCATCACAGCGGCAACTGAGGAGAAAGTCTACATATTTGATGTGCAGAAATTAGGACAAGCCACATTCAGCAGTGGACTTGGCGAAATCCTTGAAGACGAATCTCGTAAGAAGTTGATGTTTGATTGTCGACAAGATTCCGACGCGCTTTGGCATCAGTTTAAGGTAAAATTGAGCGGAGTCTTGGACGTGCAGCTGCTTGAAGTCATCTATCGCCGTGAAAACCCGTCAGCTTCCACAACTAACACTGCGCAGTCTCCCTCCAAGGATAAACGTAGAGGTCGTGATCGCAATCGTCGTAGTCAGCGAACAGATGAAATAGAGAGGATATATGGGTTTGGTCGTTGCATTGAATTGTACCTCCAAGACGAAAAGTTGGTTAAAATAAAGGATAAGGGAAAAGAGTTGTTAAAGGAGGATGATGAACTGTGGACGAAAAGGCCACTGACGGATGAGCTCATCCAGTACTGCGTTGTGGATACAATGGCCATGTTCAGATTGTACAACAAGATGAAGGATGTCAACGGTGGAGAGCAGGCCCGTCTTCGAGTGGCATCCGATAAGTATGTTGACCTGTACCGAGGCAAAACAGAAAGATCTTTCGATGAATATGAAACAAATGCGTACCTCCCCCTTGACATCATCCCTGATAAAGGAACACTAGATTTTCCGGCAGCTAACACTGTATGTACGTGCTGCCATCGACAGTTTCCGCATGAAGAGTTCAGTAAAACGCAGCTGAGAAAAGGAGAACAGAAGTGCAGGGTGTGTAAGGAGATAAAGCGTTTGGAAGATATACAACAAAACAGACAAGATCAATGGGAACGCAATGCTCGTGAAGAAGAAGAGTATGTATACTTTCCCGAAGGCATGTCTGATTACGCATGGTTCTGGGGCTACGAACCATGGGAGAACCCAAATGACCGCTCATATAGCTGGTATTAAAAGCTTCCTGCGCCAAGCGTAGCCTAATTACATGACCACACGCAGAATCGTCGAGGAATTTGATCCCAAAAGACTGATACTTAAAACATTTCAAATATCTCTGGACTACATAGGAGACTATGGTATAGTAGTGTATAGAGAAGTATAGGGAAATTAACAAAACAATTTTTACCACTTTATAAGTTTACTTTAATACTAGGCTGTGTTCGCACTAAACCGGAGATCGGCGCCGCGCGGCGCAGCTTCGCTCCGTTACTGAAATCGCGCCGAAATCACCGTTCGCAAGTGTGAACAGATGTCCTGTCCGGTATGGTTTTCGTGCCGGCGCAAAAGCTATCCGATATATAGTGAATATAGCCTTAGTTTTACCACCGTAAGGTTGTTTCTTGTATCCGGAGAAAAGATTGCTGTGTAGCAGCCAGTAGCAATCTGAGACGCAAAAGATGGGAGGGAAGGGGAGGGGAAGGGCGAAGGGGAAAAGGGATAGTTCCTTTCATTCTTTCTCCAATTCCCTGTCTCTTTTCCCTCACCTTTCGACACCTGGCACGCAGGCTACTATGTAAATGCAATAATATTGTCGTTTACATAGATGTGAGAGAAGGTGAGGGGGGTGAAAGGTGGGTACTTATAAGGAACGTTTTCTATCAGGACTCTCCACCCCAACGTTATATCCTTTCTTTCGTATAGACCTTCATAGACTTTTTGTAGAACATGCATGGGGCATCTTGTCTACTAAGATGTACGAAACAATTAACGTAATCTCATTTTCTCAACTTCATCATGGTTATTCCAACTGCGGTTCAATTTTTCCAATACGGGCGAATTGATCCTTCCACAGTTTTTTCAACTTTTTACTAGACTGTCGTTAGTGAAAATCTGTGTCGACACCGCTGAAAACAGAGCCAAAAATAGTAAAATTGCCAGGTTTGAGAGTGATTTGTTGAAAAAGAACGAAGATATAGTTCGGAAAAGTCGCAAAATTTTTGAGACGTTCATGGTGGGGGGCATAAACTTCCTCTCCTTCCGTCATAAAAACGTCTGTAAAATTGCGCGATTTTAGGGAGCTATATGAAGAAGTAGATATAGTTTATGAGGACATGGATAACCTCATCACCAATAGCAAGGCCCATTTTCATCATTATGGGTGACTTCAACGCCAAAGTTGGCTCGGGTGAACCATCAAAGTCCTGCACAGCTGCGTTTGGGCTTGGCACGGGCAATAGCAGAGACTCCGTCATCAATTTTGCGGAACGGCATCAGCTGAAAATCATGAACACATTTTTCAAGAAGTCACCTGGCAGGCGTGGGATATAGATCTCCCCAAATTGGACACCTGGATCAGGCAAGAAACTGGCGTAAGAGATATCATCAACGCTATCAGGAAAGCAAAGCATAGATGGGCAGGTAATATTGCACGGTTATCTGATAACCGTTGGACCATCAGAGCAACAGAGTGGACCCCAAGAGATTGGACCAGAAAACAGGGTCGTCCAAGATGGAGAGACGATCTCACCAGACAGTTTGGACCCGTATGGTCAAGATTAGCCAAGCACAGACACCTGTGGGATCAATCCAGGGAGGGGTTCCTCTGTCAAGACTGAATACAAAGCCTGATGATGATGATATTTTCGCTCGCTTTAGACGTGACTTTCAAAATTGACAAGTTTCGTAATGTTAATGAGCTCCCTTCAGCGGTGTTGACGGATTAGTTTCGCCAAATGATCTGTGATCCTCATCAGAACTTCCAATTCAACAATGGAAGGGTCTATTCTCCTGTTCTCGAACTCAAATTACGACTACTGATGCTGATTGCAAACGACTTTATCTGCCACTTTCTTTCATTTGATTTTTACATAAAAACTATTTCGAATCTACAGATCTACACCTAAACATGCTACAAGTCGACCTCTCATAAGTTCTTAATAACCAACCAGGAAAAAAAAAAAAAAGAAAGAAAGATTAGAAAGATTAGAAAGTCTAATCTACACCTATACACCCAAGAAAGCAAATCCCCCAGATGCAGCGTTTTCTATCTTTTCCACTGAAATTTGCTTTAATTTAGTTTGGAAGTTATTTTGCAAATAGAAGTACTAATTCTTATTTCTTAGAACTTGAACTAAGTGCGAGTCATCATGACAAATTACATGCTGAAGTAAGGAAGCTTAAAGTAAAAAAAATATATTTACACAAATTCGTAATAAATACAATTAGTTTGTTCGTTCATTTAATTAAAAAAACTTTGTTAAAACTTCCATTGTTCCCCTGGTTTGGGCGCATCCTTGTACTCATCGATTGGTGTACTGAAAGCAGCATTTTTACGGAATGGCGTGTCTTTTGTACGAACTTGTGAAACTCCCTGAAAGAAAAAATAATAATAATGAACCGACGTTTATTTTTAATGAAGGGTAAGAGTGGTTTTGTAAAGAATTATTTACATCGTCGCTAATTCGTAGGGTTGTCAGTTGCAGTTCGCCACAATTTACAAGTTGTAGATGGTGTAATTTGGTGAGTGTCTTCTGATACAAACAATTTCCTGGTTTTGCAGAAGTCAACCTAACTGCTGATTTTTCAAACTGACGGCGCCATTTTTCTTTCAGTTCCACGCAAACGCATTTCGTCAAAGAAAATCGAAAATTACAACTAATATTGTAGTGCTGAGATAATGAGAAATTTGGACTCGAAATCAAAGAAACGGTCTTTCTGAAAACCTAAACTTTCCAAACTCCTCTCGGGGTACCTAGTTCCGTCTTCAGTGAGAGGCCTCCCTGGGCCTCCATAGTCATCATTCGGCTCTGACTTTTACTACTTCTAGAAGGGCAGATGGGGGAAGTTGAGACTAGTTTTTTGGCCAATCAATCCTTTCTACTGTCAATGAAATATATTGATCACTGGATGAGAGGTAGGTATGAATAGACTGAAAACCACGAAAACCGTCTTATTCATCTCTGGGATAGTAGAGTGCGGGACTTAACGCAAGCGCGCGTGAGACACGGCCGGCGAGACGATTTCAAACCGAGTACGCTTTTTTCATTCACTCTGGTATCAGTTTCCCAGTGAAAATAAGGGATTACTCCTAAGGATTTCCCGATTTTCAGTGACCTCCTTTTATCACCATTTAAAAGTTTCTTGCCCGAACAGATACTCAGTAACTCCACAGGTATTAGAGATGGACTGTTTGATTCTCTCATCCGGGCATAATTTAAAAGTGACTTTCATATAATACATGTACTGGGATTCACCGAAAAATAGCGGCAAAACTGCAATTCAAAACGTACATGCACTTCTTCAGCTCTCTCAAGCCAAAAGGTGGCAGGTTGTTCAGTTTTAACATCATGTTCCTGTAAAACAACACAGTAAAGTAAGGCATGAAATTAGCTTTTTTCCAGGAGCTACTTAAGGTTGCTAAATAAATTAAGGTTGCCAATTTCAAAAAGTTAGTCAACAGGCTTTTTTAACTACAAAATGAAAATGATGCTAGCAGATACTATAGCATGCTTTAGAAACATCCAGTCTCTCTCAAAGTAAACTATATGGACACTACTGTTCAGAAGGGACCATACAGCACACCTTGAAATCCAAGATGACGCATGGTGTCAGATTTTTTCCTGGAATACAGTTAAATGCCGATTTTCTGACACAAACATGGACGTTTGGATGCCAATTATGTTTTCGTTTTAGATTTAACATAAACACATTTTCATTTCAATAGTAACACAATGCGTGCTTTCCAGGAACTTGGCAAAATTTCTGAACGTTCTGGTCGAAACATAATTGAAACGTTTCCAGCGCTTCAGCCAAGGTGGAAATTTTCTGGAAAAAGTGGTCCATCTACAGAGGTGGTCCTCTTTGATGTTCAGTTCGGCTTCTCTAAGAAGAATAACCAGTTGTAAACAGAATTTCTTGTAATCCAACAATATTCCACAGGTCTCTGTTGGTCTGGCCAAATGAGAGCAACCCATCGAATTTTGCAAAAGAGTTTAGAGTTAGAGTGGCAAATAAAGTAATTAATAAACTTGCCATAACGTGGTTTAGGACAGAAAGATTTTTGGGATTATCCCTCTCCAGCTGGGCATTTACTACTGCTTACCCCTTCGCTGCTTTAAATTTTCATACAAATGATATTAGTTATGCTCACCCTAGTTGGTGCCTTGACAATTGGAGTAAATTCTGCAATTACAGTGTACAAGTAAATTATTCATTTGGAAAAGATCGATATACATATATTTTAATTCAATAGTCTACAGCTATCAAACATAATTTTAATACCAGAAAACAGATTTATGTCCCACACTTAGCTCGACTTGAAATCAAAGCTTCTGTTGACTTGTGTGATATTAATAAATAGTGATGACCAGTACAGATGGCGGAAAAGCATTCACACTACCTCACTGGACATTGTCCTGATATTTTTCAAAGAAGAACAGTGGAACCCCGTGTTACTCACACCTGATTATTCTGACCATTATTCTTTTGACCCAAACCAAAAAAAAACACTGATTTATCATTTTGTTATTTCAAACACCCTGTTTAAATATGATCACCTTGTTATTGTGACCAGGATTATTTTATGGCCGACAGTGGTCATATTAGTGGGGTTACACTGCACTTATAATTTGTGAATGTATAAAACATTCATAACTTTCCAACTTTTAAAATTTGTGTCTTGGAAAACATTTGCCAAGTTAGAATAATATTAAGATGAGTTTCAAAATCCTAAGCTCAGACCCAATTACATTCACTTTGTTGTTCAAAGCTCCATTGCAACCTTGTTCTAGCAAATTTGTTCGCTATAACAAGGTTTCATTATATCGCAGGTTTTTTCCATATATTTTACTATTACTCCGGGTAAAGAAAAATAGTTGTTTGTTATGCCGAGGACTTCATTATATAGAGGTTTGTTATATTGAGGTTCTACTGTACAAAAAAACAGATCTTGAAGAAAATAGTCAAAACTACTGTATTGTACACAGCTAAGACCCTCCAATCCACAGAGGCAGGTGTGCTGCCTCTATTTACCCCCTTCCCAACTATAAAGGATATGGTTTGTCATTTGCAACCCCCTTTTCTGGTAATAGCTAAAAAATGCCTCAGTGCAGATTGTCTGAAAAAATTTCCATCCTAAATGTCCCAGGTTTATTTCTCACTATTATCCCATGAAGTAAGGGTGAGTGGAAGAGAATCCTGGGAATGAGTTTGGCTCCTTTGCACACAACACTAAATATATGAAAAAAAATCTTTAGTCTTCTTGCTGGACTACAGAGTACCTTCGGTATGTGGTAGAAATCTTAAAGAATTTGTGGTCCTGATATGTAATTCATTTCTCTTGAGTGTGTTTTATACACTCCAATCTTAAAGGTGAAATCAATGAAACAAACTTTCCAAGATCATAAATTGATCTGTCTGATGTATTTTCCTATTAGCCTAACTGAGAAGATCCTTGTTTAACACGTACAAAGGACAAAAGATAACTCCATACCTTCTGAAAAAATTAAAATCTATAAAAAGGCCCCATTCGAAACAAACTCACATAAAGAGATGCAATTGTAATCAACAAAACCCCTCACACCTAAATTCCAGTAAAAACCACACTTACCTTTCGAGAAATCCTTTTTGGTTGTTGAGAGATATTCTATTGTAGGAGGAGGAGGGTTGAATTCTTGATCCACTTCAGCACTAGAGAGAGAAAAGCGTACACAAGTAGAATCAAGTTACACCCGCAGTGGATTTCGCCAAAAGTTCATTAAACAGTCTGTGCAGTCAGTGGGGGATGAACATGACCTGATGTGAAAGCAATTCAGATGATGGTAATAATAATTGATCTAGACCCCTTTAATTATGCAAACAAAGTTCCCTAATCCTAATTATTTTGTTCCCTCACTCACTGGAAATAAAAAATCAGTTATGTTCCAGGGACATCAATTTTTGATTTCGAGTAAAATGTAATATGTGATTGAGAATTTGCTCGCTTAAAAATGTAAGACTGTAATAGCCTAGCACAAAGCTCAGACTCCAAAAATTTTCAAATATCAAAGAAATTTCAAATATCCGATGAAAGTTGATCTTTCATGCACCCCAATTGTTTGGGCAAAATTGGCCACTCCTACAATTTGCTAGTGAAGATCACCTGCAAAGCCTCAAATGGCCCAGTCACAATTAATTTATTATTTACCTCACTTGTCTAATGAGCTCTTCCTGAAGAAGTTGTTGCCGCAAACCAACATGCCGCACTCCAAGTGTCTGTGGTTTTCTGTATGAATCTCTAACAGTGGATAACCCTTCTGGCTTGGCATCAAAATCTGTTGTAAGGATACCCTGCATTGAGGTTTAACAAAGCAAAATCATTATTCCACTGACCATCAACTGGTAGATAGTCTACAACACAAAAACAAATCTGCTCACTGTTGTTTGCAACATTGCCATTATCTGGATTCCTGAAACAGGTTATGTCCAAAGATGAACCTAAAAAGTGATGCAACAACCCTCATGGCAGCTAAAAGCTGCGCCAAATCCATAAATGTCTCCCCTCCATAAGGCACAAAGAGCACGGGCCTCGTCATGTTTTTAAAAAAAAGTGTCAACGAGGAAATCAGCTTGTAAGCTAGGCACTTCTGCAAAACTCTGGTCTCCTTCACAGCTGCTAAGGCAGGAGTCACGCAGTGCTCCCAGTCCTCGTGTGGCTGCTTCAAATGGATGTACATTCCTTTCCATGAATACAGCCAATCAAAGAGCTTTCCTTTACGTAATCATATTATTTAACTGTGTGATCTATCAGGGAAAAGAGCTGCAGTGTTGATTGAGGATGGAGTATTTACGCTCTTTTTTCATCCCCACTCCTGCCGGGCATTTGGCAGCTCAAGTGTCTAAAAAACCTTTAAAAAATGCTAACGTGTGACTGCTTCAAATGGATGTACATTCCTTTCCCTGAATACAGCCAATCAAAGAGCTTTCCTTTACGTAATCATATTATTTAACTGTGTGATCTATCAGGGAAAAGAGCTGCAGTGTTGATTGAGGATGGAGTATTT